GAGAAAGCTGGTCTCTGGAGTGGGGGCAGGCTGTGAGGTCTCTAGGGAAGTAGACTGAATAATTGGCTTACTCTGGGTGCAAAGGGTTGAAAGCAGTGGCGGGGGAGATCTGGGCCAAGAGGTCTGTGGTGCCAAAGGAGGAAGTGGGCCTGTTCCCAGGGCTAGAAGGAGAACAGGATGTGGCAACAGGGGTTGGGGGAGGGATGGAATCAGGTTGTGGTAGCCAATGTGTGATGGGCAGAGCCAAACTTACCAGGGAAGATGGCTGGCCTCTGGAACCCCTGGCAGGTTCATTGTGGGGGCAACCGGGGAAGAAGGCTGGTCTCAGGTGTTCAAAGGCAAGTTGGGGGTGGTGGTAGACTGTGAGGTCTAGGGAGGTAGAATGAGAAATTGGGGTCTTCTGGGTCCAAAGGATCAGGAAGCAGAAGGAGGATCTAGGCCAAGAGGTTAGTTCAGAGGTCTGGGGTGCCAAGAAAAGAATTCAGGGGTGGAAGGAGGACAGATTGTCCTCCTATAATTCTTTTAAAATAATTTTTGTTGCTCCTCTTCCATACAGTGTAAGATTTCAGGAAATTTTGTTTTCAATTTTATTCGAATTTTTCATAAGAAAATATAATTTTAATAAAATGAAAACAATTTTAATAAAACTGTAAAGAAACATTATTAGCACAAAATTGATGAACAGGGAAACGTGTTAAAACAATCTGAAAAATATTTGGCAATAATGAATAAAATGTGCAAAATTAACTTTTTATTTCAAGTGATTAATATCAAGTTTCATTTTGCAGGAGAATTTTAGTGAACTTGAATTCAAAGAAAGAGTTTTGGTTCTCCTAGAGAAAGATCACTCATGACAGTTTTATATCTACATATAATATATATGGGAAGCGAGCACAGCTGAGTCAGTCAGATGGCGCCCTGGCTGGCTGCCAAACCTCGTGCTGTTTACTCCAACTCTTGGCTGATTGCCAAGGCTCGTGATTCCCGCTTGTTTATCAAAAGTATAAGCCAACACAGGTGCTGCCAGCCTAACGATCTTGCTACATGCCTATGAGCTACACTCTGCCTGGCCGCTGCACGTGTGTGAGCCCTGATTGATACCGGCTGGGGGGAGGGCTGTTGGAAACGCTATATAAAGAAGAGAACCCCTCTCAAAAGCCACCTTTAACACAAATGGCCTTAATTTACCAATTACTAGAGACAGACTGATTAGATCTAAAAACGTGATCCAGGACAATGGAGATGGCTCAGTGGGTAAAGATGCTTGTTGCCAAGCCTGATGACCTGAGTTTGATACATAAAATCCATGTAAAGGTAGAAGTAGAAAACTGACTCCATAAAGTTCTTCTCCAACCCCACACCTTGGCAATGTCCTCCCCACTCCCATTATGCACATACACACACACCATCAATTTTTTAAAACACTTTAAATCTGTTAAAAAAATTCTACAAATATAAAATCTGGCAGCACAAGCCCAATCTCTAGCCACTCATTTCCTTTTCAGAAAGCGATCCACGAACCTAAACACTTCTAGTTCTGAAGCAGAGGTCTTTACCTGTCCCATAAAAGCTTTTGCAGGTTTGGCATGGCCTGCTGCTGCCTGAGAAAGGCCTCTGCCGCCTTCCTGGAGAGGTCGTCCTTCCACTTGAGGGCACCTGGAAGACACCAGTCACACCTGCTCACCTGTCCTCCCTGCCACAAGCCCCAAAGCTCATCCGTCCTAAGACCCCATCATATCACATTTAAGTAGTTAGCAAATCCCTAAACATCCCCATAGCAACACTTCGCATGTCAAATGTATATAACCAGCTACTTTGATTTAAGCATGCCTAGCCTTTCTGTGGCATATTTACCAGACGTTTCTGTGGGGCAGCTTTCTTCCTTGTGATCCTCTTCCTCTTTGAGTAAATCTTCAATGTCACTGTGTGGGAAGCGAGCACAGCTGAGTCAGCCAGATGGCGCCCTGGCTGGCTGCCAAACCTCGTGCTGTTTACTCCAACTCTTGGCTGATTGCCAAGGCTCGTGATTCCCGCTTGCTTACTCCAAAGTATGGAGAGGCCAAACAGGTGCTGCCAGCCTGGTGATCTTGCTACATGCCTATGAGCTACACTCTGCCTGGCCGCTGCACGTGTGTGAGCCCTGATTGGTACCGGCTGGGGGGAGGGCTGTTGGAATACGCTATATAAAGAGCTGAAGTGTGTAATAGAGAGGAACCAGCATCATAGTGAGCCAGCATCATAGTGAAGAGAATAAGAGAGAATAAAGGAGAAAGAGAAACAGAAGCTTGAACCTCACCTTGGTGTCTGTGTCGTCTTTCCTGGACTCTGCTGGACAGAGTCCCGGCTCGCGACATATATATAGCTGAATTGACTCCAATAAAACTTAAGTAGAATTATACAGTGTGGTTATGTAGTATTTGTCATTACTACACCATGTTTAAATTTTGAAAATTAATTCACCATATGGACTGAAACAAAAAAATAAAATAAAGCATTTCATATTCTGAACAACCGTTGGAGAAAAGACTCAATTCAGTACAGAGGTGGGAAAAATAAGTAAGTTTAATTACATTAACAATATGAGGATATTTAAAAAATTACTTAAAGATACATGTATATGTGTGTGCATATACAATATACAGTTTGAATATGCCAGAAAAAAGTTTTTGTGGCATACATGAGAATTAATTAATGATTTCATATCCCCAGAGTGAAAGCATAAAAATCTGTGTTAAATAATACTAAAACATTTGTAGAAGTTGATAATGACAGAAGAATATAGATTTAATTAACTCAGATTTCTCAGAAACTCATTATACACAGAAGTCGTCTGAAATTAAGGTAATACACAAGAGGAATATTCCCCCGGGATATGTGTGATTCTCCTTATTTAAGAGAAATTTGTGTTTGAAACCAAAATAATTATTGCAGAATCATAGCAATTGGATGTGGTAAACAGAAGCATATAAAACGCACGGCTTAAGAAACCACTTTCAGTTTCATAGACTATTTCATGAATTTGTATAAAGGTAAGCCGCAGTTGTTCTCTTAGATTATTATAACTGAAGATAGCTTTAAATTTGAGAGTCAAGTTTATAAATTGATAAATCATAAAGAGTGAAATCTAGTACCTATGATTCATATACATTTGATTGTGCTATTAAGTAAAATTAGATATGAAACTACATTAGAAATATTATTCCATAATAGTAGTAATGAAACTATTGATAAAAAAGTACCATTATCAATAGTAGTACCAATTACCAATAATAGTAATGGTACTATTGATTAAATAATTGATTTTCTATAATACTTAAAATGAGCACAGAGAGAAATTGGAAATATAAGATAACAATCAATAACATTCATTTATCAATATAAAAACCATCAAGGAATGGATCTAAAAGATACAAAGTTGTGTCGTGAGAGGAAAAATAAATGAATATTTACATGAAATTGTGGAACAAACATTTAGAAAGTGAAATGATTCAGAGCAGTGTTGACTTCATATTAGATGATATGACAATAAGTAATCAAGACATTTTCAATTTTTATTTGTTTATCTACTTATTTAACTATTTCTGTTTTATGTGCATGAGTATTTTGTCTACATGTATGTAAGTGAATCATATGCATACAGTAATTCTGGATTCCTTGGAACTAGAGTTACAGATGCTTGTGAGCCATCATTTAGGTGTGGAGAACTGAACTCGGGTCTTCTGCAAGAGCAGCCAGTGTTAGACCAGGTTTCATTTATTTTTGTCTGTTATTTTGCTCACACTACGATATGTTGGCCAGTTACAAAGACAGAATTAGGCAGTGAGTTTGGGTGTAGTTCAAGGTCTGGTTTTACCATACATCATTTTTAAGGAAAAATAGAGCAAACTACAATGGGCTACAAGTGATTTATGAAAATAGAATCTGATAGAACAGGGGAAATAAAATCTATTATGAGTAATAGGCAATATTTCTTAACTTAAATACTAAATATTGATTCACACATAGTTTAATAAATTTTAAAGAAGAAATTTACTGAGGAAACTTCTAGAATGAAAGGTTTTCATAAAAACCTGAAGTGAGTTTCGAAGAGCAATAATAGTTTAGTCTCTTATATCCTCATGAGCAAAGAACGGATAAACTGAAAACTGATTACAGCAGATTTTTTCCCATTTTTGTGTGCATTTGTGGTGAGAATTCATACATGCATTCTTTTTTCTTTCATGTGTATACATACCCATGTGTGAATGTGCACATGTAGGAGGGCACATGCTTGTAGATGCCAGAGTTTGAAATCAGAAATCATTCAGGTTGGTTCTTTGACCTGATTCATTGAGGCAGGGTCATTCCAGAAAACTCCAGCAAACCTAGAGCCTAAGGTTATGACTAGTCCAGCCTTTCTCTACCATCAGAGGCTGGACTTATAGGAGGGCTGCCATGGCAAACCAGCCTTTAATTGGTTTTCTGGAGATGTGAACTCCAGTGTTCAAGGGAACAAGTGGCAAGCACTAACCACTGAGAAATCCTTCCAGCCCAGTCAACCACTGTTTTTAAAAAGGAAAGATTAAAGATGAAAACTTCTTTTGTATAAGAAATAAGAAAATCCTTTGAGAGCAAAACTTTTGGTTGATAACTTTAAATACTGAATCTGACAAAAATTGATAATGATATTAAAAGAACATTAAGACGTTTCAGATAAAATTATAAATTTAAGCACATAACAAGAAAATATTGTTTCCGACAATGTACAATTATTACTATTGTACATATATCAAAATCTGGGTGGAAATGTAGCTGAATTCATAAAATAAATTTAATTTCTTGAGTTTAGCTGTATGTCAGTTAATTTTTAAGATTACAAACCTCATCTTGTAAAAAAATAAAAAAGCAAAGTAACAGTAAATGGTTATGTAACAGAATAAATAAATCCATGCATCTCATTCTGTTTGCATACAAACTTGATGGACTTGAAAAATAAATGCATTAAACATACTTAATTTATTTTATCTGCAGATGAAGAGCATATTAAATCAGAATATTCAAATATTACAATTACAGAATTTGTTCTTTTAGGATTTTCTGATATTCCTCAACTACGGTGGATTCTGTTTGGGATATTTTTGCTCATGTACTTGACTATTCTGATCTGCAACAGCGTTATAATGCTAATAACAAGAACTGATGAAACTCTTAAGACACCTATGTATTTTTTCCTTAGCAATTTTTCTTTTGTGGAAATCTGCTATGTGACTGTCACTATCCCAAGAATGCTCATGGACCTATGTACCCAAAAGGGGACTATTTCTTTGGTGTCCTGTGCTGCACAGCTCTGTTTTGTCATTATGCTTGGAGGCATGGAGTTCCTCCTTCTCACAGTGATGGCCTATGACCGCTATGTGGCCATTTGCAGCCCCCTGCACTATGCTGTAATCATGAACCATCGGGTCTGCATGCAGCTTGTGGCTGGCTGCTGGATCAGTATCATTCCAGTTGTGACTGGACAAACATACCAAATTTTCTCTTTGCCTTTTTGTGGATCTAACAAAGTTAATCACTTCTTTTGTGATGTTCCACCTCTACTCAGTCTTGCTTGTGGAGACACATTTGTGAATAATTTAGCAATCTATGTTGCTTCTATAGTATTTATTATGGTTCCTTTTGTTTTGATCATTGTCTCATATGGAAAAATTATCTGCAACATTCTGAAGCTGTCATCAGCTGGAGGTAGATCTAAAGCCTTCTCCACTTGCTCCTCTCACCTGATAGTTGTAATTTTATTCTATGGAACAGCTATTATCACTTATGCACAACCCAAAGCAAATCAACCAGAAGGAATGGGGAAGTTGTTGTCTCTTTTCTACACCATTTTGATCCCACTGTTGAATCCAATTATATATACTCTGAGAAACAAGGACATCATGGTGGCATTGAAAAAGCTGCAAAGTAAGTCATCAGCCTAGCGAAACAATTACAATTACAAGAATTTGCTAATGTATTTGTCATGTACTTATTGGAAACAGAATGGTTAGCATTTTCTAGATTCTTTAATTATCATAGTTAATATTGTGTCTTAGTATACAAAAGGTCCTTTGACACAGTTTAGTTAAGGGCTCCTATATAATCAGAGCACATATTCAAACCACCTTTTCATTAAAAAACTAAGTTATCATGCTTGGTGGTAATTTGATCTGTATAGTAAAAGACATATAACTCATGTACACAATATAAGGGTTACATAGTCAGGAGGTAAGGTTGGAATTTGTGTTCAGTTTATGTATTGTCTTATAATATGGATTTATTTTAGCCTATCATTATCAGAAAGAACTTAAATGAAAATAAACACTTGTAATGCTTTTGAAAGGTTATTTTTATTTGAAAGATTCTCTAGATAAACAGAATCTATTGAAAAATAATTTTATTCAAAAGAAAAGTAATAGTTTATGGATTGGAGAGATGGCTCAGCAGTTGAGAGCATGGCCTGCTCTGACAGAGGACCAGGGTTTGGTTCCCAGCACCCATATCTTGTCTAACATCTGTCCATAAGTCCAATTTGAGGGAATCTGACACCCTCGTGATACAATTACATACATGCAGACAATACACTCATACACATACGATTAAAATAATAAATACTTTAAAAATAATTTTAATGACATAAAGAAAATCTATAAGTGCATATACCAGACACTAGAGACACTTGGTGCCAGTTGAATCCAATATCCCTTTCAGCGTTCACTGAACGTGTAGCTCTAGTGTCAAATCTAATGAACTGTGTAAAAAATCTAGACATCTGATTTCTTGGGGAAAGGGGAAGATAAAGTGGATCTACTTCTGCGTTTATAATTAAACCAGGGTCTCACACCACTTAAGGCAGGTGCTAACCACAAATGAAGAAAGTGTCAAATAACAAGGGATACTTAAGACACTGTATTTTTAACTAGGTTTTTGAGCTAATACATTTTCATCAGATTTTTCACACCACCTAAGTTTTATTTATCTCTTCTCTCTCCCTATCTAACCTCCCCCCCATCAAAGCACCCCCATTTTCCCCTGATAATACCTGTCTCCTATTATTCCCCCACTCTTAAGATCCTCCCTTTTACCCCTATGATTCCTTTTATATCCTTCCCTCCCCTCTTCCCAGTTGAATACCCCAATTCTCCCCATTTACCCCTTGGTAACATATTTTTCCTACTATCCCCCTCTGTGGTGATCTTTCCTTCCCTTTACCTCCATGGTCCTTTCCATATTCCTGGTTCCTGTGGTCACATCAGGATATATAGTCACATATAAGGATTTTGATCCTAAGATACCCAAATGAGAGAGAACATACATCACTTGGTTTTCTGAGTCTGTGTTACTTTACTTAATATAACAGTTTCTAGTTCTAGCCATTTATTTTCAAATTTCACAAGACCCATGGAAACTCAATCAGACAAAAACCCAGCATAGAACCAGGGAAATGGTCAGCATTCCCCGAACTTAACTGGAGCTATTGGTAGCTGATTACTGATGGGTGAGGGAGAGTACATCGTTTTTAAGGGAGGGCCTCTAGATACTCTGACTAGACTACAGTGGATGAACTTTCACTGATGACACTTGGGTACAAAAACTCTACTCATTGTGTTACAATATATGACAGAATGTGGGGCTGGAGAGATGGCTCAGCAGTTAAGAGCACTGACTACTCTTGCAGAGGAGCCAGGTTTGATTCCCTGCACCCACATGGCAGCTACAAACTGTACTTAACTCCAGTTCCAGGGGAATCCAAAGCCCTCTTGTGACCTCTATGGCATTGTATGACATGGGTGCATCACATACACGCAGGCAATGCACTCATATAAATAAAATAAAATAAATATAACAGAATGCATGAAATCTGCTGTAGGGGGTTATGGGTAGTGTGGATGGAAAAAGATGATAAAGATGATGAATATGTTCTGTATGAAATGCACAAAAATTCAATAAAAATATACATTGAAAAAAAGTACATGGGAGAGGAGGTAGGAAAATGAGAGTTGATCGGGAGGATTTACTGGGAATCACTAGAGGAACTGGGGTGAATATGATCAGAATAAATTGTGTGAAATTATCCAAGTATTAAAATCATATTATATTTTAAAAGAGTGTGATTAGGTATGTTTGTCTTATGTGTATATTTCTCCTGTGTTATGCTACCTCAGCTGTCTCAGGAACCTTGCCTGGCCCTGCAGACTTCCCTGCATGCAAATGTCTCAGCTCTATTAGAAGCCGAGGGAGCCCCCAGATCGGGGATTTTCCCAGACCCGTCTTGTTGAATTTCCTTTGCCATACATCCTTTCACTCTGCTATCTCGGCTCTCAGACATGCTCTGTTTACTAGGATCCTTTCACCCCTAGACTTCTGAGATCTCTAAACATGAACTATCAGCCAACTTATTGACTTAGCAACCTCCCAGCCCACCCTGCTGTTCCCGGACCATGAGGGCTCAATCCTAGAGCATCCAATCAAATAAAAAATATTAACATACAAAAATCAGTAACATTCCTATATTAACAAAAAACAGACTGAGAAAGAAATCAAGGAAACAATCCCATTCTTGTTCGCGTCAAAAGAATATAAAAGGTCTTTGACTAAATCTAACCAAGGAAGTGAAGAACTTGTATAATAAAAATTTTAAGTCATTGAAGAAAGAAATTGAAGAAGATGGGGAGGAGAGATGGGTCAGCAGTGAAGACGACTGGTTGTTCTTGCTAAAGACCAGGGTTCGAAACCCAGCACCCACATGGCAGCTAACAACTACCCGTAATTGCAATTCCAGACATCCAACAGTCTCTTCTATCCTCTGCAGGCATTGCATGATATGGGTACACTTACCTTCATGCAGGCAGTACACTTACACACATAAAGTAAAATTATAAATAAAATGTTTTTAAAAAGAAATTGAAGAAGATACCAGAGGATGGAAAGAATTTCCATGACTATGTAGATTTAGTATTGTGAAAATAACTACCTACCTACAGACATCTACAAATTCAATGTAGTATCTGTTAAAATACTAACACAAATTTTCACAGAAATTGAAAAAAATCATAATTTCATATGGAAAGACAATAAACTCAGAATGACCAACATGATACTCAAAATAAAAAATGCTGGAAGAATTAATATTCCTGACCTCAAATTGTACTACAGAGCAATAGTCAGAAAAACAGCATGGTTCTGGAATAAACAGTGAAATACAAACAAAAATCTGGGTTTAATTTCACAATTTTTATAAAATATTTTAGTATTTTTTACTTTATGTGTATATTAGTGCAGCCCTGCCCTACGGTGATCCTGGAGGTCAGAAGAGGACATCAAATACCCTGTAACTGGGGTTATAGATGGTTAGCTGCTATGTGGGTGCTGGGAAGTAAACCCGGGTCCTTCTCAAGAGCAGCCATTGCTCTAACGAATGCTGAGTCATATCTCCAGCCCCTAAATCCACACTTTAAAGTCACCTAATTTTTGACAAATGAGCTACAAATAAACACTGGAGAAAGTACGGCATGTTCAACAAATGGTGCTCATCAAACCGGATAGCAGCATGTTTGAAAATGAAATTTGAGCCCTATCTTTCACCATGCGAATATCAATTCCAAATTTATTAAGGATCCCAGTATAAGACCAGTTACTCTAAATCAGAGAGAGGATAAGATAGGAATTACACTAGAACTTATAGGCACATGAAAGAACTTGTGAATAGTAGTTCTATAGCACAAACAATGGAAAATATTACCCCATATAACAAAAAGCTTCTGTATAACAAAGAACACTATCATTCTAGTAAAGGGAACAAATACATAATGGGAAATAATCTCTACCAGCTATACTTCTGGCAATGGGTTACTATCTAGCATATACAAAGAACTAAAACAAACAAACTAACAAACAACTACATATCAAACTGGGCTTGGTGCACCTAGTGGAAGGCAGAGGAAGGTAGATCTATGTGAGATAATCAAGGCCATCCTTGTTGAGATACAGGTAAACCCTGTCTCAGAATGAAACCAAAATGTAAAAATAAATAAATAAATAAAAACTGAACAACAACAACAACAACAACAAAACAACCAAATAAAAAGTGGAGCAAGAAACTTAATATAAATTTTTTCAAAGATGGAAGTCAAATGACTGAGAAATACTTTGAAAACTGCTCAATATATTTTTGCGTGAGGGAAATGCATTTAAAACCACTTTGAGATTTCATTCAAACCCAATCAGAATAGCTACGATCTAAAAATAATGACAAATGGTGGCAAGGATGTGAAAAAAGGGAACTCTGATTCTTTGCGGATGGGAGTGTGAACTACTGAAGTCATTGTGAAAATCAGTTTGAAGATTCCTCAAAAAGCTAGAAGTTGACTTGCCATTTGACCCAGCTATAACACTGTTGGGCATATACCCAAAAGACTTTATCTATTTGTGTTTAAAACTTTTTTTCTCATGTTGCAATCACTGGACAATTAACACCTCCTTTAATAATTTTAAAATGATTGTATTTTCCAACAAGTACACCTGAATGAAAAATATTTTCACCAGAAATTGACAATGAATTAATTACTCTTTTTCGAAAGGCTTGATTTTAATCTGTCCAGTTTACTGGACAACATTGTGATATTGTTTATCTTTCCATGTCTCCAAATAATTTCAAAATTCTTCTACAAACTGTAGCAAAAAGACAAATATTTTTTACTGTTTTTTAATGATAAGTTGCATTTAACTTCCATGTGTAATTTCTTAAATTTTTATACAAATATTTTCTTCCATAAATATATGTATAACATTATTTAGATTGAGACAATAAATCAAAGTAATCATTACATCATGTTTGAAAATGAAACTCTCTCTACTCCCAGAGCAAACACCACCCAGTGGGTAAACATTATAGCTGATATTTCTATTTTCAAACAATTCCCTAATTAACTTTTCAGTTTATTAACCTTCTCTTACTATATGGTTCCTGCCATCCCACTATGATTTTTATCCAATTTGGCTCATGTGAGGGCATCCTGTTTTTTATTTAAAATAATTCGATTCAATACAGAATTACCTTTCCTCCACATAGTCATATAACTGTCCAGGTGTCTTTTCAATTATCACAGTTACAGTCTCAAAAACTTATGCAGTCCTGTTGTGATTGCCAATCAGTGAGCTTTATCATCAAAGGAGAAGTCAGTCCCTAGGTGTTCTTTCTAATTAGTTTTGGTAAATAAAATTAACATATAAAATACTTGGGAAATTTTTAATTGTTTCATATATGTGTTTTTAAAACATAATTTTTAAAAACATTATTTTTGCAATGTCTCAGATACAAAAATTGACTCTAGCTGTTCACAAGTCAAAACAAATAATGTTCCTGTTCGTGTACCTAAAAATTTGATCACTTTTCGTCAGTTTTGGAAAGTTCATGTTTCTTATGACATTCCCTATATTACCCAAAATAGAAGCCATAATTTACTAATTCATTTAGTGCTCAAAATTTTAAACCTAAATAAAGTGAGGAATTAGGGATTTGCAGTTCAAGAACAAAGTATATTTTAAATATTTTTAAGAAACTTATACTTTAATTTTTTAATAGTGTTCCTTTCAGTTTTTTTTTTTTCCCTGCGTCATCGCCTCGAAACACATCTTAAAAAATGTTTTCTCAAAATCTGTGGTGTTGTACAAACTAACTTATAGTAATGGGCATCAACTGACTAAGATTTTGTTCCTCCCATTAACTGAAGCAGAGGCTCTACATCTGTGATTGCTCTGAGTGGCTTCCTGGAGAGCAGCATGACTGGTAAAGCCATACTAGGAAACGTCAACCTGTCAAGAAAGCCCTTTCCCTCCACATGAATAATTGTCCTGTTCACTGTACTTTCCTCTACTATGCTGCTCTGCCCCTGCCACCTACTCCAGATACTTAAAATGGTATAATGCTGACCTATGCTGATAATCCAGCACATACCCCCATGAATAGCCTACCACCAGAGAGAAGCTGTTCCACAGGACTGTCCCCTGACAGACATTTAATGGGAAGATACCAATTTTCCAAACTTGGTTGCACCTGTTAGCCTAGGATCATCACAGCTAAGCTTGCTGACTGTCAGGAAAGACAGGGAGAGTCATGGAAAACTCCCAAACAACCCCTTGGTCCTAGTTGCAAGGGGAGCGGGGAGATTAAGGGTCTATAAATTTAGGAAGCCTAGGAAAAGCTCCATCGTAGTTCTAGGCTGAATGAAAACTTTCCAGTGCTTCCCTCCAGGAAGAGTACCCACACTCCTGTAAGCAAATCTTCATTCATTGCTCTGAAAGTAGGCTCCGTAAACTCACTGATTTCCCAGACTGAAGTTGGGTGAAATCATACCACATTTTGTCATTGTGACCACGGGAAGAGAGGGTGGATGCTGTTTACACTTCTCCAGAAGGCATTTTAGTGACATTTGGCATAGTCGGCAAGGATATGAGAAAACTGAGAACGAGTTTGAGAAGAGTGATATGGGGAAGGAGAGCAACAACTGAAGGGAAGCTGAGTGAGGGGAGAGTGTTGACAGAGGAAATTTTGACATGGTGGGTTCTCCCGTAGGGCTGCTGGGGTTAGCAGCGACGCATAACTAAGGTGAGGCCGCCTAAGTGGATGATGTCAGTGAGGGAAATCCCGCCCCCCCTCGCCCCCAGTTGTAGGTGGTATGGAGTGGCATGACAGCTTGATCGGTGGGATCTTCCACAGGGGGATGGAGATGTTTTGAGAATTGCAGAAGGTCTGGGAGTAGTGCACCAGGGGCAGAAGTTAGAGCAAGCAGCGGCAGAGGTAGCCTGGCCCCTGCTATGTGTATTAAGAGATCTGAACTAGGCAGAGGAGGTAACCCAGTGGAAGACTGAAGATGTTAGAGAGGAACTCCAGTGAGAAAGAGATATGAGGCTGGCCTCTTCAGTACTGGCCTATGACCTCGATGCAAAACTGGGTAAAGGGAAAAGGGAGATGGAAATTTTCACCTTCCTTTTTTTCCTTTTCTTCTTCTTTTTTTTTTAATCACTAGGAGCTCAAAAAACCCAG